AGAAGGAATGAATGATGAAGTTAAAAACGCCTGCACCTTAAAAGGGTAAGCTAATCACATTATTAAAAACTTCTTCGTGCAACCAGCTGGCTACCGGAAAAGAGATACGAATATAGGTTTAAGAATTCCGGACAGCAGTTAACCCAGTTGGTCAACTTGAACCAGAAAGTTGACAGACGGTAACTAGGATCGTTATGCACAGACAAAAATGCTTGTGATGTGCCCACTTCAACTCTTAACCCTCCGTTAGGCGTGCAAGCATTTGTAACGTACGTGGTCAAGTTGTAGCTAGCAGATACACGTATCAAATGCACTTCTTTTAATTATCACTTTTATTATTGTAATATATGAAAGTTATTATTATTTTGTCTACTTTCAATTTAGTAGCTTTAGTAAGTTAAAAATATATTATTAAAAAAGTTTTAGATAATTATATTGAATAAGGGACCCTGCTCCAATGACCTTGACCTTGATATATGTTGTCAAGGACATATCTTCGACTAACTTTTTCTAATGACTTAACCATCGTTCATTACTTATTAAAAAGTTATTAACAAATAAAGTGTAAATAAAATATAAACCAAATTCCAAACTAGCCCGAAGCGGGCGGATTAGTTTGTATTACAGAATGGTAGTCTTCCAAAGGGAGGACGAAGCGTATAAATAAAGAATTTGAGACTTACTAAATTAGTAATTATTTTGAAAAAAGTCAGTCATCTATCTTGTAGATCCACACACGACTAACGCAAGGTTAACCCTTAATACAACGGCGTGACAGTTAAAATAATTGTATATCCCATCATTACAATAGCCCAAGTAAGAGTTTAACTGTTACACTAAAAACATAAAATGGTTTAAATAAAATCATAAAAGTATATTTCATATTTTATTTATTCTGACAACATAGAAGATATACAGAACCGGACAAATGAATTCGGACAAAAATGTTTTTGTTTTCCTACACCGTGATATTGTTGATAGGAGAAGGCCACTCGGAGTTTTGTTTCTTAGTAGTTGAAAGAAAGCTCACGAAGATGTTAGACGCAGATATATACTCTATATTACGTATAAAGTAGGTTTTATTCGAATTTGTTCGGACAGAAGTATTCGGACGTTTCATTTATGCGTGTAATTTATTTTTTAATATTGATATATTTATTAAATTCTTTTTTTGGTGCTGTTATTCTATTCTTACGAAGATGATGCGAGAACAAAGTTTACCGAAATATATGAAGGAACAGGTTGTAAATACTTTACAAAATGGTGAATCCATATCTAACGTTTCCCGACGTTTTAACATCGCAAAACAAACTGTGTACTGCATTCAAAAGCGATTTCAAGAACGGGGACACTTAAAAAATAAATGCAGGTCTGGCCGTCCGAAAAAGACATCAATTAGGTAAAACAGACAAATACGACATCTATCAATTGCTGATCCCAGGAGAACTGCAGTTTAATCGAAACTGACGACTTGGACATTAGTGTGCGTACAGTACGACGTCGTCTAACGTCTTTCGAGTTACATGGACGACATGGAGTCAAGAAACCATTGATTTCGAGAAAGAATAGGATAGCCCGACTTAAATTTGCTCAAGAACACCTTCACTGGTCAATAGAAGACTAGTCCAATGTGCTTTTCAGCGATGAAAGCAAATTTAAATTATTTGGATCTGATGGAATTCATTGGGTACGTCGACCAAAAGGTCAAAGATTCAACGTGCGTTATCAAATTCCCACAGTAAAGTATGGAGGATGCAGCATTATGGTTTGGGGGTACTTTTCCGGTCACGGCGTTGGTCCATTGCGGCAAATTAAATGAAGAAGGAACAGTACGTAGAAATATTAGAGATCACCCTGACCTTCATAAACTGCTCAATTCATTTTATATCAATATTGTGACTTATTCATAAAAACTAAGAAAAATCATTTGTCCGGTACTGTAATGACTCACTAGTTATTAAAATTTACCGATAACCGATTTCTGCTTTAAAGTAAAAGCTATAATAGGCTAAGTTGACCCTACTATACTAGAGTTATTTACACACACCATTTAGTGTGTAACCGAAATCACTTAGTGTGCACTAATAATAACCTTAATGTACACAGAAAGAATAAACTGTATAATAAGTGCCACTTATACAGGAAATCTATTGAATATATTCATGTAGACGATTGAAGAAAATACAATGAAGTTCATAATCGAGTTATTTACGTTTATCTACACCTCTATTTATTTTATAAATTAGATGTAATAGAATGTTCTTATACAAGATTTCAGCAAACTGATGCACTTTAGAAATATTACGCCGTAAATTACACTAGATTAAACATCCGGTTTATCTCTTCCACCAGATGAGCACTTCCCACCGTTTACATTTCTTCATAATAAACAATACAGAGAAGGCACTAACGAACGTTAAGGTTGCTTCTAATTGTACACCTGCTTATCCGGATTTTTAATAGAATTTAAACGCAGTTAAAGTCGATAAAATAATTTAGCATGTTCATCTGATCAAAGATAATAGTTAGCGAAAAACATTTTCTATCAAAGTTTATATTATCTATAAATACCATATACAAATAATAATATGTAGGTGGTTCAAATAAATGTAAAATATCATTCACATCTGTTTAACCAGTTAACAGTGGTGATCTTTTTGCAAAGCGCGTACCAGTGCGTGTCACGATAATCAAGCGATGACGAGTTAGCTCTCAAGAATTTATGAATCCATCTCAAATCATTTACATTTTTTATTTGTTTATTTCATTTCGTGTTAACCTCTAAACATTCTAAACATATTACAATATACGAATAAAATTTAGTTTTCCCCAAAATTACAATTTAAATATCAAATTGTAACAAAATTTTACGCATGACGGATATAGTCGTCATGACACAAAATTCTGCCACATCTCCCTGACGGATATAGTCGTCAAACACACTTAACTGGTTAAATACAGAAACATTTTGGTACATCAAATTCAACCTAACCTGGCTTGGTCCATAATCTTTACCTATCATTTGAATCTCATTATTTTTGTCTGAAGTTTGAATAAGAATTTATTCAGCTCCAACAAGAATTTTTTTCAAACTGTTTTGAATAAGAATTTATCTATTTAAAATTTTAATTATTTTAACATTGTTAGAGTAAATTTTAGCAAGGATAAATTCATTATTTAAGTTAGATCAGGTTTGAAATTTAAATAAAATTAGATAAATTGGAGTGATAAAATTACATATTACATTCTACCTCAGCCACTCTCATTAACGTTAACAATATCATCAGCACGTCATTAAGTACCAATAAGGTATCGATAATTTATCGATAATCAATAACAGCTCTTCTAGCGCAATGTGCGCGTCACTATCGTATTAAATATTATTACACTAGAATTTAGAGTCTTTGACCGTTACAGACTGGAAAAAAGGATACAGCTAAAAATCAGCATTCATTGGCTTCCTCTCTCGTAATGTTATGATATGCTGGTCATTCCTCTCTGAAAAAGAACAGACTATGTGTTCGTATTGTCCTCGATTTTTTCGACTCTACGGTCAGCACCTCGACAGAAATCACTTTAACTTGAATAGTGGACGTCGCCAACATTCAGGGTTTATTTAGAAAACATGAAATTCTGGCATTGGTCCTGAAACTTCAAACGATTCGAAGAAACTTTTGCAACTAATCCAAGTACATACTTCACATCTCCATAATATTTTGGAGGACACTAAGTACTCATATATGTTTATTTCCCAAATATTAACGTTTTCTTCCAATCAATACAAGAAAAACTCAGTATTCAAATGCCCAGTATTAAAATGTTGAAAAAAGATCAAAAAAGTAATTTAAAGAAAGCAGAGTTAAAACTTCGGGTATTACTTTTTCGTCCAATTTATGTTTTACGAAATATTATACCTTAGAGTGTTCAGTCTTAATTTACTTATTAAATCGTTGGGTCCCGTCTATAGGATTTCAACACTTTTTAAGAACAGGAATACTCACACGCAAGTATAATCTTGTCACTCACTTTCATGTGAATAATATTGAATACGTCCAACATAAATTTTGAAGACTTGTTATCAAGAGTAGTGGTTGGTCCACGCCGTTTGATTCTTACAACTACCTTTTAATTCTTAATAATCTCCACCTCCAAACGATGTACAACAGAAGAAAAATGCTCGACGTCATATTCGTTTGTAAAATAATGAAACGTATGACCTCATGTCCGACGACAGTTCAGCTTTCTTTTTTGAATATATCCTCAATTTGATGAACAAACTACGCTTTAATTCATTCCGAATATCGCACTAATTATGATTATTTCAGTTGTGCATATCAAATAGAAAATTATGTTACCTTTATTCATTATAATATTGATATGTTTAGAAGCTCTATAGTATCCATAAACCAATCGTCGACCTTTTTAAATCTAAATTATGTCACATTTTTATGTTGATATGAGACATGTATGTTTTATTGTATAGTATATTTTATGTTATGTTCTAATGTATTTTTTCTTTTAATTGTATGTTTTTATTTAAATTTTAATATATATCTTACTTGCTGTAAGTAACTGTAGAAGAATTAAACATGTGAAATCTTCCTTCCTTGCATTATATTTCTTTTTATATAAAGTGGCTTATCCCGTAAATAAAATAAAATAAAATAGTTCATTTGAATATAATTTCAAAACACGATAAGCAAAATAGCGAATTTCCACGAAAAGATAGTTGGCAAAAACGTTATCTGAACGATATTATAATTTTCTACGATCAAGAAGACAAAACAAAATTCATCGTTCAGGGTCGTTTTCGTCGTGAGAGGAATAACGTACGTGCCATTGTACGCGGGAGCATTTCCCTTATTTGTATTCCAGGAGGAAGAACATGATAGGAGCCAATGGAGAAATCACAAAAGAACCGTTCAGATAAGTCACGTTCACCTTGACGGACTTTCGGGTCGGTCTATAAAAGAGACGTGCACCTCCTCGGTGGCACAGTCACAGTCACAGCCGAATCATTCGAAATGTTTCGTTCGATTGTTGGTATCCTCTTCGTGGCCCTGGCCCTGCTTCAGACCGTTTCTACTATCGATATTTCCAAGTACAAGAGCGTTCGATTGGAATTCAGCAGCACCGATGGCGTAACGCAACCAAAATTGGTGAGATACTTTCCTGTATTTCCCGACAAATCTACAATCGAGTTAATTATGAGTCAAAAAATATTTCTATCTAAATAGCAAACTTATTAGTAACATAAACATTACTAACCCTGAATTAACAGGACTAGATTTCTGGTTTAAATACGAATTTCTGTTTTAAATACTACTTATATATTATTCAACATTAAATATGATTTAATGCTTACTTCTTTGGATATTACGTTCTTAATATATTTGTACATAATATGATTTGTATTACAGTTAACTTTACCATTGCCATTCGCGGATTAAGATACTCAATTAGTATTACCTTTTCTACATATGACAAAAAATTTGATTTCATTTAAAATTATTAATGAATTTGTTAAAAATTCTAATGAATAGAATTGTTCAACATCTTACAATGGGAATACAATGGAATACGTATTTGAATAATTAATTACATTGGAAGAAATGATTCATTAATTGTTGAAAATTTGTAAATAATGAATTATTCAAAATTCATTACGATTGAATATTTTTAATTGTAACCATTAAATTAAATACCAATAACTTCATTCACAACAATTTTTACACTGTTGTAAAATATATTTTTTACTTTGTACAATCAGAATATTTCAAATTTTTAATGATTAAGAAATTGTTTCTGAGTACTAAAAAATCTTGATAATTTAAAAATTGATCACACAAAATTAAAATTAATATATGTACTAATAAAATAAATTAATTAATATGAAACAAATCTTCATAACGGAAACTTGAATTGAATATTTTATGTTCCCCTTTTATATAATTCAAAACGAAATTTCCCAAAATATTCGAAATATTTAAAATAAAAAATACTTGAAAGAAGAAATTCTTTGACATTTTATATATAACAGTATCGTTTTTGTATCGTAATGTACATCTTTCAGTAACTCAATTTTTTAATAACTTTAACAAATTGTTTAACTTCACAATTAGGAAAGAAAAAATTATCCACTGCATATTTTATAAATATAAATAACCTATTGTATTATAGTATTGAACAATTAAAAAAAAATACTGAAACAATCTTACGTGTAGTATTAAGGAAGCGAGGTATAAAAACATGTTATAAACAGTAAATTATTTTCGGAACGTAACAAGTGGAAAGCTTAATTTAAAAAATGGAACAACTGTATCCGGAGTAATTACAATTATAACGTGCTGTACTACATACGGTCCTTTTTACCGTAGCAGTCAACGTGTTAAATTTATTTCGCTCCAAATGAAAATTTTAATTGAATTTTTTGTGTTGTATAAATAATAGGGTGAAGATCGCGGATCAGGGTTCATCGGAGATTTCATTGCCGGCCAACGTTACTCGGATGAAATAGTATTTCGTCGAGTTGTCGAATTTGAGAATCCTACCAATACTATTCAAACCACAACATTGAACATAAGCGTTTCCAATGGTAAAATTTCATACCACATCTCTTATTTTAATTTTCTATAAATTTCTATTTATTCATCTTCCAATCAGTATTACAATTTCAAAGAGTTTAATCATATTTTCCAATTAAGAATTTTATAAGTTCATTTACAAACATAAATCATGTATTCATTTATAGAAAACAAAAATTACAAATTCATTTGCAAAAGTAGATTATAAATTTTTTAAAGTAATAAATGTTTTAGCAAATAAATTATTATGTTCTGTATGTTGCGCACTGCTTTTTAAGAAGTAAAATAGGCAACTAAAAGTAATCCTTGCGAATTTCATCAAATTTGTGTCGGATAAATGATACGTGCTCGTGATGTAAATAGAAACGATATTTGCTAAATAAACATTTATAAATAAACATTATTTTGCAGCAATCATCCACTACATTAGTGCAAGAAATGCGCCCGGAAGTTACGCTGTGATCTGTAACGATTCGAACAGTTTAGGATCATCAAATGGCAGCATCACCCTTCGAGTTTCACCGAATTCGACATCTTCGATAACTTTAGTCGTCGCAGCACACAGTCAATTGCGTATGATATAAATCGTTTCTGAATTGAGCTTGATTTCGAACAATTCTGCTATGTTTACAAATTTTTTACCTAAATACATCTGGCAACTCAAAAAGTTCTTGCAGTTTTTATCAATGGGTAGAAATGATTGCAATCAGTATACTGGATAAAATAGTCAATTCATTTTTACTTAATTATGGTTGAACGTTTTCTGCCATTTTTTGGTTATTACTTATTTTTATGGTGTATGTATATTTCGACTGTATAGTACATGTATTATCAATAATTAAAAACCTAAAAATGGTATGAATTTTATTGGGTATTTTTAGTTAGATTTACTGAATGTTCCAAATAGCATCATATTGCGTTATTCTAAAGAAGAAAGGTATTCTCTTTTGGAGTTAAAATATATAGGGGAATTTGAAAATATAAGACGTAAAATTTAAGTTACATGTAATGTGAAAGACAACAATAAATGCAGTATTATTCCTAATTTCATGTATTTTTTTTCATTATACTAATTTCATATCTTTAGTATAACTGATATCATTAACACTACAATTACCAAACCGGTTACTTGACTGGTTGCGTATTTCAAATTACAACATTTATTAAAACCTTCTTTAAAATCTGATTGATTTTTATCAAGATAAGAAATTAATATTGATATTCAATTATATTTAATCGTGTGTTTATACTTAATTTCTTATTATGTGCATTATATGCTGGTAAGATGTAGTGTTAATCCCTTGCCATTCTTTGAGAAATCTAACTCATGATGTATTCACGATCCAAATGTAACAAATTTTATTCCAATTTTCAATGCGCTTCAATTAGAGATTTAAGTCCAATTATCACTTATATAGTTAAGAGTTAATGATTACAAAATCGGTACTTTAATTTCCTTTATTTGTTTTAATAGTGTAGCAGTTAATAGTTAGTGCTAACTGACACATCTTACAAATAAATCGACAAATAACACTGATATGTTTCGCTAAGCAATATAATAATTACTGCGTACATCCGATTTCGATGCAGCAGTATACGTAATAATTAACATTTCTTACTTTAATTAATATTCGAAACTCGAGTAATTTAATTTAAAATTCATCCATACGGAATTAAATGCACGACACTCAAGTGAGTTAATTATGTTACAGATATTAAATATTACCTTCATAATTAATGCTTCAACCTGTTTCAAATTTAAATAGTAATCAATGTCATAATTTGATCGAGATTTAATATCTTTATCTTGCTTTCCGTCAGGCTGAAATATGATCATAATTTTATGTCGTTTACAAACAGTTAAACATACATTACAAAATTAATAATATAAAAATGTTCAATTTTATAAGTAATGGGTTTGATCGGACAGTGCATTAATAAAGCACTATTACATCTTTCCATTGCGTTTGGACACACTACTTGCATCCTCTCCGATTTAATACTTATTAATTACAGACAGTGAAGTACATAATTTATCTGCTTCAAATAATTTCTATACATATCTGTTCCATAAACAGTAGTTTGCAGAATATTATATCAAAATTATACAATATCAAAAGGAAACTATGATGCTCAGATGACTTTTTCAAATTAATTTATTTATAAAAGATCATCGATATATACATTGTATTTTTTAAATTATATATGTACTTTTCTATATCAAAATCAAATCAGAAGTGAATGTTTTGTATGAACATATTAACCTTTACTTATGCTGAAACTAATAATTAACTTGCTATAATAATCACTCAGGTATTACTGTTGAGGCTTTCGGGTGTAAACCGTGTCCTAAAGGAAACGAGTTCCCAAGCATTGCAGCTAGCTTCATCAGGGGTTACCCTGATACTGGTGCGACTGATGTTATGTCGCCCCTTATATTGTGATGCGATGCTCACGTTCCGGATCGTTCACTGTTCCGGTTGATGCGATGCTCACGTTTCGGATCATTGACTGTTCCGGTTGATTGCGTCCAATCAGAAAGTGGGACTTTTTGATTGTGCGCACAATTAAAAAACTGGGAAGAGCGTGTGCCAGATTGGGTTAATGTGATATCCTGTTTCCCGGTTGATATTGTTCGGGTGTTTCCGTATTTCTATTGCTTCCCTGTGCTTTCGGGGAAGATAGGCTGATGTTTTTGCCAATACTTCGGTTTTTTCAAACAAGATTTCGTGCCTAGTGGTAATCTGGTGTTCCGCCACGGCTGATTGAATGTAGCCCAACCTGGCGCAACGCTCATGTACCTTGAGTCTGGTGTTCACGCTCCTCCCAGTTTCGCCGATGTATACTTGGCCGCATGAGCATGGGATTTTGTATACCCCTGGTGTAGACAGCTGCGGCTGCGGGTCCTTGGGGGAGGTGAGGAGTTGTCCTATTTTGGTATGAGTTGTGAAAACAGTCCTAATGTTGTGTTTCCTGAGGATTATGCCTATGCGGTCCGTCGTACCTTGAATGTATGGTAAGAAGGTAATTGCGTGTTCTTTGTCGTGTGTGTCCGTCATATGTTTGTGTGTCGGTTTTGTTGTTTGGTTGGTCAGTCGGTCTATGGTGCGATTAATTCTGTGTCTGGAGTAACCGTTTTGTTGTAGCGTAGACCTGATGTGTTCCAGTCCATTGGCCAGGTTCTCTTTTTTTTCGCTAATGTAGGTTGCTCTGTGGATGAGAGATGTGATTACGGAATTCTTTTGGGAAGGATGGTGGTGGGATGTAGCATGTAGGTATCTGTTGGTATGCGTAGGTTTTCTGTAAACCTTATGCCCAAGGGTTCCGTCTGCTTTTCTAGTAATTAGGGTGTCGAGGAAAGGTAGTGAACGGTCCGGGTTTTCTACTTCCATAGTGAACTGTATGTTGGGATCCAAGGAATTTATGTAATCAAGGAATTCGCCAAGTTTTTCTCTTCCATGGCTCCAAACTACAAAGGTATCATCCACATACCTGAACCACTGAGATGGTTTTAGTGGCGCGTTATTGAGAATGTAATTCTCTAAGTACTCCATGTAGATGTCAGCAACCACGGGAGAGATGGGAGATCCCACCTGTTCATAGTATGTACCCTGGATGATGAAATAATTGGACCCGCAGCCGCAGTTGTCTACACCAGGGGTATACAAAATCCCATGCTCATGCGGCCAAGTATACGTCGGCGAAACTGGGAGGAGCGTGAACACCAGACTCAAGGTACATGAGCGTTGCGCCAGGTTGGGCTACATTCAAGCAGCCGTGGCGGAACACCAGATTACCGCTGGGCACCAAATCCTGTTTGATAAAACCGAAGTTTTGGCAAAAACATCAGCCTACCTTCCCCGGAAGCACAGGGAAGCAATAGAAATACGGAAACACCCGAACAATATCAACCGGGAAACAGGATATCACATTAACCCAATCTGGCACACGCTCTTCCCAGTTTTTTAATTGTGCGCACAATCAAAAGGTCCCACTTTTTGATTGAACGCAATCAACCGGAACAGTTAACGATTCGGAACGTGAGCATCCATCGCATCAACCGGAACAGTGAACGATCCGGAACATGAGCATCGCATCACAATATAAGGGGCGACATAACATCAGTCACACCAGTATCAGTGTAACCCCTGATGAAGCTAGCTGCAATGCTGGCGAAATGTTGGGAACTCGCTTCCTTTAGGACACGGCTTACACCCGAAAGCCTCAACAGTAATACCTGTATGACGCCGGGCCGTGAAAGCCTCAAATCTCTTTTATAATAATCACTGTCTCATAACTCTGCTTAGTTACAATAATCGATCAAAGCGACACTTTATTTTGCGTTTTATTATAGACAACTGCTAACAATAAATTTTATTTTTCATAGTAGGAAGATGAACAATTTTTATAATTGTATTGATGTCATGAACAATGTTTTTATAAATACTTTAATCTCCAAACACTACTGTAAGTAGATTGAGCATAAACAATCCCTAATACTTTCTGATCCAGTGACTGCAATTAATATGCGGACACTACATTTTTTTGATTACCATGTGTATCTTCCTAGCGATACCTCAAACTTTATTTACTTATACTAATTAATTTATCCGACAAATGTTATATTAACAAATGTATTACTCTTACGTCGCGAAAAATTTTGGACATTTAATTTTCTACAACGCTTTTAAATGAAAATACATGTTTAAAAATATTTCAAAATAGCGAACATTCCTGAACTCTTCCGGTTTTATTTCAAGTCATTATCCTAATAACATTTAAATATGTTGTCAATGTTAATTTCCAGTACACTGTTATTAAATGTTAAAATACCTAAGCGCATATTTTTATCTATAATTCTATTCACAAAAACCAACTCCCAACTTCTTTCGATAAAATACAACCCTAAATAATAACACTGTTAAGGTTAAGGTGGAAAATAATCCGACTAGATGATACAGTTAAAGAGAACTTTAATTGAATAACGCTAGTTCAAAAGACGCTGGTTAATGTATTCGCGGTAGCGCGCGAATACATTAACAACGCAATCAACAAAGCAAAGTTTGTGTCTACCGAAGAGCAACTCGGTGGTGGCGCAACCGTGAATAAACAAAAGCTGGATACAGGCTTGCCATATATAATAATAATATAGACTAATAGATACTTCCCCTCCGTGTATCGTTACTAGATTTAAAATTTTTAACCAGTTAAGTGTGTTTGACGACTATATCCGCAATGGAGATGTGGCAGAACTTTGTGTCATGACGATTATATCCGTCATGCATAAAATTTTGTTACAATTTGAGATTTAAATTATAATTTTGGCGAAAACTAAATTGTATTCGTAAATTGTAATATGTTTACAATGTTTCGAGGTCGACACGAAATGAAATAAACAAATAAAAAGTGTAAATGATTTTAAATGGATTCATAAATTCTTGAGAGCTAACTCGTCGTCGCTTGATTATCGCGACACACATTGATGCGCCCTTTTCAAAAAAATCGCCACAGTTAACTGGCTAAATTAAGTTCTTTATTTCACTTACGCCACACTAATATTCGTCTACCTAGTCCAAATAAATTGAACTTACTTTCATCGGCAAAAGCAATATCATTCCACTATAATTGTCCTTTACTAATAAATTATTTAGCAAATAATAATTTTCTCTTACGATTTGTCGTGTTCATCTATGGCTTCTTATGCGCCACTCTACTAATAAATCCATATTCTTTTAACTCTCGACGCATCGTATCTAGATGAACTCTTCCCTAATTCTTTAAACAATTCAGTACTTAACTTGGAAGCATTTAAATCACGACCGCTTTTTATTTCTTTCAGAATATTCCGATTATCTTGATCGTCAAATATTTCTGGTCATCTCGTTCGACGAATTGACTCTATCTGATCCTCATGATTTTACTTCTTTATAATATCTGCCAAATCTTAACTACATACAAGGATACCGATTTCTCGATAAGATTTTCCATCTTCACTGTGAAAAATGACTTTTGCACAATAAGCTAAATATTTTTTTAGTACTCCGCCTCTTGTTCAAAAGTTTCACTGATCGAAATGAATTTCAAATAATAACTGATATTTCGAAGTATACGTCCCACTTAACATATGCTTGAAAACAGTATTAACTCTGAAGAAGTATAACTTCGAAATATAGATAAATAGTAAAGGTCAAAATATCTTTGCGACATAAGAATAACACATTTCCTAATACATTATTTGTTTTGCGGCATATTAGTTAGTTTAATTAAAATTTGCAGTATCGTGAAGAATACTCGAAATATATGTATAGAGTCACTATATATAAAGTTTTCTGCAATTTCAAATTTTTATACTACAAAGCACCTACCTTATTAGAACAATTCAAGATACTCTTGGTATCACACAAACAAATAAGTTATCTTAAAAGAATAATTCAGTATTTCCTTTCAAAATTATGCAATTTGTATACACATATAAAAGGTTAAAGTATATGCTGTAAAATACTTTCATTTAGAACGTGTAAGTATGACTCATCCTGTATACATCATATTTATAAGGGTATGTTACTGCTACAAATAACACACAATATTTCAATTATTTTATTTTATTATACATTTTTAATTTCATCATTCTGGTATAAGATCATGTTTTCGTTACGTAAGAATCAACACTTATTAATACTTAACTAAACCTATAAAATTAAAATGTTTACTATTAAACTACATTTACATTTTTACTGCACATAAAAATAACTCACAGTATTAGAAGTCCTTGATGCGTTCATTGAATTCAATACAAGCTTAATAAACTTCACGGTTGGTATGTATCTAATAAGTCAAGTTTTAATTTAGCCAAATGTCCACTCATTAGATTTAGTCATAGGAATATTGACATTACTATAATTACAAAATTGAAGGTCGACAACTGTTTACAATGAACGCTGCTAAAAATATAAGCACCATGTTCAATTTATGTATCATGATACATTACAGAAATATTATTTCAAATAGCTTTAAATCGCTTGGTTTCAAAGCTTCTTAAAACACTGATACTCTTCGAACAACTATACTGCTAACTATTTAGACGTATTTGAGAATACGCGTATAATCTGGTCTTCGTACAATGACTCTTGCATTAATAATACTGAATTCGTTCAGTAGAAATTTTGAAAGCTTCCGTTTAATACAATTAAATTGCATAATTACGATTTAATTCCTAACATCGTAAACATTCACACACTACACAATAGAAGGCTCGAGATCATGTTAATTTGTAAACGTCATTCGTAATCTCCAATCAAAGTGTGAATGACAACACTTTGTACAATATTCTATCAAAACACATTTCAGGAAAAAGCAATCAACAAATTTTTCCAACAAACTTTGCTTCGTTCAATCACACGGCTCCAATATTTGTATCAATATTGCAAGTTTGTTCATTAATGATACATTGTCTCGTTTGAATTTTCACGTTCCAAATATTTTCAAGCTATCAAACCCACTTTTTGAACACCAGCATTATTGTCGTAATTAACCGGCCATACGGGCTGTTACAGTGTGCAATTAGGGTTGCGTAACGAGCAGCCGAACAATCCTGCAAACAAATCACGTTCGTGGAAGCAACACATGCGTCGATTGTATGCGTAACAGGTGAACACCTGACAAATGTAAATTTCGCGAATACTATTTTCATCGCGTCGAGCTGCATCAGCACAGATTTTTATGTCCCTTTAGACAATGCTGACTCATGAATGCCACACGCCTCGTGTAGCAACTGCATTCCATGAATGATAAATTTGCAAATAATTTTGCGCTAGAGAATTTCTTACGTTATGAACAGATAAGAATAGTTCGAAGAAAAGAATTTTTCCAAAAAAACGGCGGATTGAAATTATAGTCAAGTGTGACGATGAAAGTGAAGCCTGGATACATGACCGCAAATCTATACGGTTATATCATCACGAACTATTCCCGTCAATTCCTGAAACTACTAACGTTAGATTATCGAATTTACGAAATAAAAAAAATACAACATTTTTAGAGTTTTTTTTAGATCGATAACCTTAATCGGATTATTTAGATTCTCATTAAAATGAGACCAAACACGACGCACTTCGGGACATATTTACTTGTAATTTCAAGTGTTACGCGTACATCGATGATTTTACTCTAATAAGATATTGCAAGTATAAGTGTAATAAAGTTTACTGTAATAAAATTCTCTACACTTTTTGTCATTATACAAATTTTGATAAATTGTAAAATAAGGTTATGAAAAATTTGTTTGTTATAAACAAATTGTATTTTGCAAAATCCGTTAACATCCTGTTATTATACGGAAGAAACCATACAACTTTCCTATTAGAAGTTTTAATGTATCTCGTATGGTTTTCGAGATAGCCAAAAGGGGTTGAAACTTCAAGGGCTCGTTTCACCCCTTAAACCCGCGTCTCAGCCGATAAAAAAAAATACGTGTCCCTTATTTTTGCCTGCTTAACAAACCTACGAAGTTTCATCAAAATCGGAGGGGGACACTTGCGTGCCTTTTCTTGTTAGA